GCGATCCGCTTACATATCCGTTGCTCTTCCCTTCCGGTGGACACGGTTGGCATCCAGAAATGGAACGCACAGAGTACGCGTCGCCGAGACGAGCCCGAGTTACCCAAAAACAGTATTACTCATTCGTTCTCTTCACTGGGGACCGCCAATTCAATCCGTTGCACTATGCTGGAAAACTCTTGCAGCAGTTCATAGTCGATAGTTGGTCGAAGATTGAGATGAATCGCTTGAACTTCATCAGGCAAAATCAACATCCACTCCGACTCGACACTGTCCAGGGTCTCCAGGACTATATTCTGAGCGACGATTCAGATGGTCCACCCGGTCGCAGAGTTATTTTGGCCGCTTCATTCACCGGCGGCCCGCGATATGTGGTGGCGCAATATCAGGACGCGCGATGAGTATTGTCGCCAACTACGGGAAACCTGATTTATTCATAACTTTTACATGCGACCCCGCGTGGCCTGAGATTGTTTCTAATCTTTACGACGGCCAAACTGCATCTGATCGCCCTGATTTGGTCGCGCGAGTATTCAATTTGAAAGTTAAGGCTCTTCGAGACAAAATATTGAAGAAGCAAGTTTTCGGTCAAGTTGCAGCCTACATTTATGTCATAGAATTCCAGAAACGCGGTCTACCCCACATGCATATGCTTTTGACTCTGACATCCGATTTCAAGCTGCGAACGCCAGCTGAAGTCGACAGCGTGATCAGCGCGGAGCTTTCGGACCCTGTCACGGATTCGGCACTACCGTATATCTCAAAATAAAAGGCATCCCCCAAATATAATTGAGTCCCAAGGATTACAATAATAGAAGACACCCCCCAATAGAAGACACCCCCCTAAAAAAGACACCCTCCTAAAAAAGACACCCCCTAATAGAAGACACCCCCAAACAGAAGACACCCTCCATAATAGAAGACACCCCGAAAATGCAGGACAGTCAGTGTCTTCTATTTGGGGCTGTCTTCTATTATAGTATTTTTGACAGGGTCCTGTATTAAGGGGATGCCTGCTATTGGGGGGTGTCTATTATTCGGGGGTGTCTTCTATTATAGCATTTCCGACAGTGTCTTGTATTTGGAGGGTGCCTTTTATTTGGAGATATACGGTATACAAAATAGTATCTACGTGCATGATCCACCGCCCCTGCGGGAAACGAAATCCCAAGTCGCCGTGTATGATCAACGGCCAGTGTTCCAAACATTACCCGAAAGTGTTCCGAGACGAAACTTCACTTTCCACGGAGAGATATCCGGAATACCGACGTCGGCAAGACGGCCGTTCGCTTATTTGCCAAGGTTTTACTTTTACCCACTACGAATCTGACTTAACCTTTTTAAATGAAGCGCTACTGAACTGAATTGACTCCCGACATTGGTGAGCTCCATGTGAACAGCTCGAGCTTCAAAAGCATCGAAGTCGGCATGCGATCAGCCGTGAGGGCGCGAAGCGCCCTCACGCCTGGTTGAATGGGTATATTAGCTAAGGTCTGATGATTCGATCTTCGTGAGAGAGATGGAATCGAAAGTTTCTCAGGGACTCACGCACCTGATTCCGACTGACTGAAACGACAACGAAATGTAAAGATCCTTGACTCGCCGAGATTATTTCTCCATTTCAATGATGATAGGCATTTTGTAGGGAGGAGCTGAGAGCTTCAATTTTCTCCCGCAGCTGGGGAGCTCCATCGAATGCCCAAAATCATAATGATACCGAGCTCCCCCAGTTTGGGCAGCCACCGTTCCGTTGGGATCTTGGTCGGAGAGAGGGAAGTATGATGACTTCACCATATGGGGTTTCGGATGGTCTCCGCAATCAGGTCTACATATGTCGCGAGGGATTGCGGGACCGCCGTTCCACATCCAGAGATCTGCGCTTTCCGTTTCCACAGAAATCTTCCCCCATATTCCGAAGAGCATGGAAGGATGACCCCCCACGGTGTATCGATTCTGGAAAGTTGTATCAAGGTCTGATTGGCCTGAGCTCGCTTCGTTGCCGTTTCCGTCGGGGATGTGTCTAAACAACTCAGTCGATGCTCAATTAACAACGTTCTGATTGCCCGTTACACTGCTTGGCGTCCCAATTGTTTGGCGAGAAAAAGAACAAATGAACGCGAAATTAACTCCAAACACTTGAGAGCACATGGGAGCGAGTGATTCGGAGGGGGGAACGGTCAGAACATTTGTCTCAAAACCGTTATTCGTCTCATGTGCCCTCTCATCCAAGCTTCTTCAGGAGTGGCGAAATTCTGGCTTCCGCCTTCGCCACCGGAGAAGTGTCGATCCGCTCCGACGGCCCGAGCCCGAGCTTAAGCCGTTGAAACAAAAAACGCCAACCTTATTCCTCAAACCAAATGAGCATCTTCAATTTTTTCACCATCCGAGGCCCCTATTTTCTCCTTGTCTTCGCCGCCGCGCGAGCCGTAGTTTTTGAAGCAAGAGAAAAAGTTCCGGAGAGAAGATTTCGTTCGAGCCAAGGCAATCCGCCTCTTCGCACTCGCTGGAAGAAAAAAACTCTTCCGGCAGAAAATAGGGTTTCTTCCCTTGAAATTCCCTACCCTCCGAGTGTAACGCTGCTGGAAAATCGGAGATTCATTCAACTCCGTGGAGCAGAATCCTTCCGCATGCGGCGACGATATGAACGACAGTCATTGGGATTCTCCCTCCTCCGAGACATAGTCGATGTGGGTGACAGAATGGTCCTTCCTTCCAAATGGATGAACTATGGGGAGCCGTGTAAAGGACTCCCACTAGCTGATACGTCCTGAGCCGGAACCCGATCCCGAGTTCCTGAGCCGAGTTCCTAGAGAGGGTCGCGCGCTTACTCGCACACCAGACCCGTCGCGATTGGGCGTTGTGAGAGGGGGCTCCAAAATCCCGTTGAAAATAATCGCGCAAGCGAATACGCGAGAGGTTCGGGTGACAATCCGTGCGGTCGAATGAGGTTGTCCGGACGGAAGTGCTGAAGGGGAAGAAATCAGGAAAAAAGCATGCGGGGCAATCGGAACACGAAGGAGTCTGTGATCTTCCCGCTCGACTACCACACTCAAAGCATTGCGGCGCATAACCCGAGCTGAGCCATGGAATGATTCGCTCGCGGGTCGGGTTTTGTCTGGTTCCCCCATCATCTCGGCTTTCTCTTCTGCGTTTCGTTTCAAATCTTCGTGTCGCTCAGTTTTTCAAAAAGCGAGCTTCAATCCATCCGTCGGGATCGTTGGAGGAAGTGGCAAAATCTGTTTTTACCGCGTCGAACGTGCAAGCCCACAGACAGACATACCGACCGACTGATGGAGGCAGCTACAACTACGGATGGTTTCTTTCCGAACGGCAGGAGCACCTCATCGTTTTCCGAGCGGCTGAGGCTCCGTCTTGATTTTGGGATGAGCGGATGCCCGACACCGCTCAAGCTGCTGATGGTGGAGCTGCTGCCGTAGTTCCAGCATTGTTCATGTGATGATTAGAGTTCTGGCACAATTTATTCAGCTCGCGGTAGCCGCAGCACGACGAGCAGCGGTAGTAGTGAAAGTAGTCGCCGACCAGACAATGGGGTCTAGGACGATTCGGCGGAAGCGCCCGGTTGCCGTAAGTCCTGGAGGCTCGCGATTCCCATTTGCCGCCTAATAGAAGAAATCCAGAGACCCGGTCCGCGAGCGAACTGATACGAGAGCCTGTAATCGGTATTCAGAGAGGAGCTGGAATCTTTCTGACCGACTATGTAGCGTATTCTGAATGCTCTTTGGGGAAACTAAAAATCGATTGGCGAAAGGAAAGACCTGAGTTCAGTGAAAGGTGGTATATTAAATATATATTAGAGTATATTACAGCATTCTAATATGCGCCACACGGCGCTGCGCCGAGCCAGCGGCGCTGAAAGCCTCGATTCCGTCAACTAAACCGGCACCAGCCGCGTTATCGGTGTCGACCACGCCGTCTGAAGCAAATCGACCGGCACTGCGATGGATGGAGCCTCCGCGGGATGAATGAGTCTTTGAGCACAACAAGCAGAACAACAACAACATCACTGATATTCTTTCTCTATAGTTTGGTCTTAGCCGGTGCCACTGTCGATGAAGATGAAGACGTTGAGACCCGGTGCGAATACGAAACAGAAGTACTGTACTTCGTCAGAGTCGGGGCCGCTGTCGTTGTCGATGTTGAGGTTTTCCGGCTCGTCGGCGGGGTTGTGATTTTGGTCTCGATGAAGTCAGCGCTGCCCTGGTCCATCCTCGAAGAAATCTGTGGGTTGGTCGTCGTTAGACTCACGTGAGGCATGGCGTCGCTAGAGCCCAAAATTTCGCTAACTTGTTTTTCGTCGGCTCGAGCGAGTTTCCCCGAAGTCTGGTTTCCATATCATACCTGGGGAACTTCTGTAGTGGGGAGCATCGGCCGGATCTTCTGCCGGCTGTCTTCCGGCACGCAAGCAACTTTTTGTGCGCGTTCGCAGAGTTTTTGTTTCTCATTGAAAGCCGTTCCGTTGGGGCACATGAACGTCTGCGTCAGAGTTCTCTTGGAACACTGGTGATATATCTGGGAACAGAAGTCAATGTTAGCACAACAGGATCGGGGGCCACTGGAAGCGAGAATGACAACGAGGGCGACAACGGTGCCGGTGGATGGACGGCAAGATTTTGGCGTGATGCGCGAACAACCATGAGATCTTGGAGAGCATGTCTCCACTATCGGATCCGAACATGGCCCGCAACCTTGATTGAGATCCCGAGCGTGAGTCGGGGCTTTCTTTCAACAACCGTTCCGCATCTAATTATCTGAGTTTCCAATGGCTACCAGTTCTCGAAGCACATCTGAAGCTATTCTGAGGTTCCGATCAATTAAAGCACCGTGTTCTGATTCTTTCCTGCGGCGGCGAAATTTACCATATCTTCTCCATCACGGAACGAATGCTGGGCCCCAGAGTGTGACTTCTCGCGACACGTGTGGCTCAGGTTGTATAGACTTCCGTACGAGCAAGTCAGAGTTCCAAGACTAGGGCGACTAGGGCAACATGCTAGAGCCGCCAAAAAAGGCGAACAGGGGAGAGCCACTGCATTCGCGAGCTCTCGACGGACATAAGGTGCTCACCTGACACTTATACTGTCGATTGGCGTAATATCCCGAACGTCTCCCTGCGCAAGAAAATTCTATGATTTGTTGACTCTTACGAGCGTAGGAGGCCTGATCTTGATGCGAAGAGATCCTTTTGCGATTGTTCTTCTCCAAGAACATGGTCGTCGGCGATATCTGCGGCGGCGACGGCGGCGGAGGTGGCAGAGGAGGTCCCGGTATGAACGGCTCAATCAACGGCGGGAGCGGTGATGATGGGGGCGGTGAGAAATTCCCAGTAGGGAAAGATCTGCGAGCCACTTTGACCGATTCCGAGACTTTCTGAGCTTGTGGTGGAAGAGGTGGCGGCGCCCATCCGGAACTAGAGCTAGCTCCGAATTGGAAGCCCTTGTCGTGGAAAACTGACTGGGCGGGATCGAATATCTGGAAATGATTCATCGATGATTGTGATTGAGGCGAGGGGATCTGGGCTTGGCTGTGCAGAGATGGGTTGGGGGTCGTGGGTGCCCCTTGGTGTTTTTGGTCCTGGTTCATCGAGTTGAGTACGATCCGGATGGTCGGGGCACTGGTGCTGCTCTCCGATAGAAAGGATTTCCCGTGAGGCTGAGGATTGAAGAGATTTGATTTTTTAAAGCGACAGGCAGATACAAAGAATCAGCCTGACAAGTCGAGCTGGAATCGGGAAGCCTTATTATGCGGAGCTTACTTCTTGGTGCTCGAGTGAGCGAACGTTCTGGAGGACGAAATGGCCCGGGAAGTCCGGTTGATTCGATCGGAATTTCTGGCTCGACTGTCCATCGAAGCTATACGACGGACCGGCAGAGCCCTCCATGTTGTTGACGAAGACTAGTTCGGGTTGCGAGGGTCTCGAGGATATGCGTGAATTGAGTTGATAGCCCCCAGATCCGATCGACGCGTGCAATGCGCTTATCGAAGGCGAGTGATAGGACGGTGCGTCTTGAACCATCTCTTCGTTTTTGAGCAACATTCTCCTCTCGTTAGCTGATGGGTACTCTCGGGACGAATCAAAGTAGACCACTTGAGGTTTCGTTCTCGACTTGAAAGAGATCTTCGGGCTATCGGAGCCCTCTTCGCTAGACCCATGATCTTGACCGCGACCCAGGAATTCCTCTTCGTCTATGACGATCGGTCGTCTCTTACGCGACTTGACCTTAATGTATACGGGTTCGTCCTCGGTCGACGCATCTTCAAGAGAGTCATTGTCGTAGATTGGGCGACGTCGACGCGTTTTTCGGCCGCTACCCGAAGATGGGCCCGAGTAGTAGGTCGTTGAGCCGTGAGGGGGCGGGGGACCAGCTACGATATTCGGGAACACGAAGGGATTCGGTGGTCTTGGGAAAGGGGCAAAGGGATTCCCATATGGCATGGGAGGGGGGTATAAAGGTGGTGGGTGCGGCATGTGTGGCGGAGGGAGCATTCCCGGGTGATTAGGGGGTGGGGCTTGACCTCCAGCGTAGACATGTGTCACGGAGGGATCTTGATTGGTCGCTGCAGGCTTCAATTCGTTGGGGGTATCCTTCTTGGGTCGATTGAAGCTCGGCCATCGCAGTCGAGGCAATTGAGGGAACTTTAAGATTTGACTCTCAACAGAGTCGATGAAACTTAGTGGTCCTAAAATATTCCGGGCGCACCGTTAGAATTCAGCGATGCGAAGGGACTCGACAGACCAGAGAAAATTCGTGACAGGAAGATAAGCGGAGGGCGATCTTCGAGAAAGAGATCTAATATGCGAGCAAATTTTCTCGTCTCTCTCCAATCACTCGATCCGAGTGAGCGGAGGCCGGACCCCCATCGACCGGGAAAACTGACTTGTCGATTGGCTTCCCATTCTTGCTCGCCCTTAATAACTCGAGCGTGATCACTGGATTCTATTGATTCTCTAAAGAGTGAAAAACTAGTTCGGCCGGCGAAAGCGAACTTGGAATATCCGAGGCTGCATAAGGGCTCACCGAGGAAACACAGAAAGAAGATAATCCATAAGCTGCAGCGACCCATCTTCTCGATGGCGCTCACGAACTTCAACTAGCGACTCGCTCCGTGGGAAACTTCACGTTAACTTCACTTCTTTTGCACCGGAATAAGCTTTTTGAGGGAGCTCACCCACGCCACCGGTTCAAATAGCAACTGCAGTTGGAAAGAAGGTTCGAACTCTCTTTTGCCGGACGGGCAAGTGCGTTATCAGCTGCCAGGGATGCCGCTGCCGCCGCTGCGGCGGAGCCGGCGCTTCGACTGCGGACCAATCCGTCGGTCGGACCGCGGCAAACGGCTTCGCGCCCAATCCGATTGCCGATATGTGCCAAGTACCGATCAAACTGATGAGAGTCAAATTTACTAAGAGGATAGAGATTCTCTAAAGAGATACTGCATTGGACGGAGGCAACAGAACATTCCAAAAGAGACTTCCTCGTTTCAGATTCTGGCTCTTGTCGTTCGGAACCGGAAACACGTGATTGATTCTATGATGAAAAGGAAAGCTCTCCTTCCAAGAGCAGCGTCCATGTAGCTCGTTCATTCTCAAATTCCAAGAAGATGCTAGATTGCTCGATAATGACGTGCTGGTGAACACAGTCAAGGAACGGATTTCGACGACAAGCGTATACATTTATTTTTTCTCCAGCGCCAAAGTCTGCACAGCCCGTTTTGCGCGGAGAGTTGAACCGCGATTCACCGAGGGAGCAGGACAGTACTTGCGAGGGTCGTGGAGCAAAAGTTCTTGTCGAGGGGTGTCAGAATTGAAAACCCTCCTCTCATGCTAAGGGAAGGTTTCGGAAGTCGTCGCTTCTCCCGTCCTCGAAGGAAGCAGCCCCAGAGGACAATGTTTTCCCTTTCCACTGAGCATGCATCATTTTTATACCCTTTCGCGAAATCCGGGCGGATTATGTATGCCAGACGTTTCTCACCGGGGATAGTCTCGGATATCTTCGCAGGAAGTTTCATGGGCCCACAGGCAGACCCGGTCGAAAGAGACTCGCTTGCGAGCTGTTCCTTATGTCCCTTTGCATTGGCAGGATCTTCTAATGATGTACAGAATCTTCCATCTTATGGGGCGAGCAAGTTTGGCGAGGTCCCGATAGCTGGCGAGAAAATTCTTGGTGCAACTGTAGCGAGTATTCGGACTGACTTTCCAAATCTTGAGCTTGATTGAGAGCCGATTCCTCGGTCAACCGACAGTGCAAGCTCTCCCCGGAAGAGGAAACACACACTTTCCCACAGGAGTCGGTGGGATCATGGACATAGGCGAAGAGCTATTTTCCCCATAGAGAAAACCCGAGGCCCTTCGTACGATCGAGAATGGTTTCTCGGTATCCGAACCTTCACCTGATATCGATGCCGCTCAGTCGGGCAATAAACGATTGAAAGAAATTCAGTCATAATCCCTCGCTTGGTACCTATCCGTGCCTGGAAAATCGCAATTATTCCGCATTGCAAGTTCCGCGCCGAACGAGTCCGCATTGTGAGTCCCGGTCCGTTCTGAAAATCACGATGCGGTTCAAGAAGCCAACAGTTCCCCAGACTCGCTGCAAACTTCATTGGATGAGAGGTATTTTACGTTTCTCCCACCCTGATCAGAGCCCAGAATAAATCCAGTGGGAGTTTCCTTAAACTTATGAGAACCTCAAAGATTATAAGATCGTAAGCGCGTACTGAGGGAACGTTTCCGTGGTCGGGATACCTCAACTTGGTGGTGGAACGAGGAGAGGAACTAGCGTCCCTGATTGTTTAGCTATGCACAAGACGTTTCCAACGTCATCGCCCACTGCAAATAATTGAAGATTCCTTCCCAGGCGAATCTTCCGCTGGTTTCGACTCATCTTTCGGCGATTTTTCATTCCGAGTCTTCCGTTTACATCGGGTGAGCTCTCGCCCCTGCGTTAATTATCTTCATCTGACTGAAACAGAGTATGTTCAGCGCGGGGATTAGGAAAGCAGCCGATTACCACGAACTGAATGTCAATTGCCGAAGGTCCACTGAGGAGGTCGCTTCCCACCCGAAATTCAAATTCATGCGGACTCGTTGGATTCTCCCCTATATGCCTCGCGGTATTGAGGCGGGGGCGGAAGCTTAATGCGAGAAAAATACGACGGGAACATCATTTTTCGTGGGAGAGTTTGATGAGCTTACGGGAGCGCTCCGAGTAATCCATCGTAGAGAATCGTAGAGTCAGAAGTTCGTGCAAGCATCTCTTCATGGAAATAGGCAATAGGAGTTTTCGCAATCATTCTTTAACTTCAGCCAACGAAGCGCTCTGACTTGAGTGACCGAAAAGATCGGTGATATTTTTGCGCTCTTGCATGGCGTGAGCCGAAGATCGGAAATCGATCGGTGAACGTCAGAGCGTTCGCGTTCGAATCCTACGCTCACTCGGAATCTTGTTCTCCATGATCAACTTTGCGCGCGCTTGCCCCGACTCAAGCAAGTCGTCGGCGGCGTTACGAAGTTCGCCAATCTCGCGGAGGGAAGAAGATGCTGGGTGATTCTACATCGATGTCCCATCCTGAGGTATATTTCGACGGGGGGAAAAAATGAGAAAGCCGAAAGAGCTCAGCCAGACAAGCGTTGAATATTCTAGATCCCAAAAAGACGAACTGTCGGGCTTGAAAAGAACAGTGCGTGCGAACATGGAATAGAGGCAAGACTACAAAATCGCGTTCACTTCGATGTGTCTTCTCGCAGACGAGCCAAGACCATACCGGCGCTTCGAAACTACTACGTCGCCGTCAAGTGAACACGTTACACATGACGCACTTCGTAACTTATTTCGAGTTTCCATGCAGCATTGAATCCATTTTTCGGCTAAGCCGTTGGAACAAGGACCCCGACAGAAGACGAGAGTTCTGAAACCGGAAGCAGCACTTCTCGAAACTTTCTCGATAGTTAGTGTAGTCGCGTACTGGAGCCGAGAGCGCCCAGGGTTCAAGAAAATCGAATGGGCTTGAGACACTGATGAAAATCGATAGGACGTCATCCAGTATAGTCGAGGGAGCGGACCAGCTCTTCTGCAGAGATTATTTCTCTCTGTTCCCTCGCGAAATTCTTTAGATGCCAGGCGAGGTCTATCCGTAGCGTCAAATAGGTGAGCGACTCTCGATCGCGTGATGCAAACTGGAAGTTCAAGTGGAACCGAGTCGTCATAAGCAGGAAAACATCCAATTCTATTCGATGAAGCGATTATGTCGGAGGCGGAAAATCGCGGCGAACTTCACCTCCATACCCACGTAGTCGTGGACACTCGATAACCGATTCCCGCTACGGATCGCTTCGCTGCGGAGACTGTTCCCATCTATGTTCAAATCAATCCGGGAAGGAGTCGTCTCAACACTTGATTCCTGGCGCATCTCATGCCTCGCCGACTCAGTTTCGGACAGCGTTTTTCCTTTTTTGCGAACGGCGCCGAAGGAACACTTGAGCGAATTTATCAGCGGGAATAGTCCACGAACTGGCAGATGGATTGGAAACACGATAGGCTGAACGAGTGGATGGATGCCCCCAAGAAGAAGAAGGAGAAAAAACTTTGCTCCAGAGAAGCTCGTGGCCGCTCCGGGATGCGCTACGGTAGCGGGAGATGCCTAAATCGTCTCCGGGAGAAAGCACGAAAATCCGACAATGAAAAACAGTTCTGGTAATGTCTTGGCCCATCACACCTCATCGTAATGTTCCTGATGTGGAGCTCTGAGCAAAATGAAAAAACCAGCGGCTTGAATGGCCGATTAGGGATCCGCGCATGGAGCGTTTTTTTGCGTTAAACGGAATTTGATCCAATTTTGGGTGCATCGCGGAAGAGGGATCGAGCCCCGTCTCGGAGGATCAGATCAAAGAAATTATGATACGCTGAAATAAAAGAACTAGAAGTTAAAGCCGGCCAGATGCAAACCGAAAGCTGAATGGCTCGCTTCAATTTGTGTCTGATTCCGTTGTGGAGCCACCCTCGCGTTATCTCCTCACGTCTGATAACTCTCAGGAAGTAATACTGACTTGACTCAGCACTAGCCGCCGACATCTTCCGAAGACTGAACATACCTTGGAAACAGCGGGGCGCTTCTTCACTCTTGTAAACGATTCACTTTTCAGGTCGTTAAGTTTTTCAATTGCTCAAATCGCGTAGCGTTTTCCTTGTTCCCGGCTCGGGACGAAATTGGATAATGAAGGAATTAACAGACAAGATACGGAACGATGGATATCCTTCAGGAATGGTATGCCGCGCCGCCGCAAATTATGTAATGGCTGTCCGAGTCTCTGAGAGGATCATTCATCACATCGGCCTGAGTAGTTAGATGCCCAGCCTGAAATCTCGTCTCCCATCATAGGACGTTAACAGGTTGGCTCGTCAGCACAGGGACTTTCTTCTACCAGGGACCAGATTTCCCCGAACTTTTCATCGATTCTTCTCAGTCTCATGCGGATTACCTCTCGGCTCCTTAACAGTGAATCAGCGTTGCCCCCATCCACGGAACTTAGGGGAGTACTCATGGTTTCCGACGGAAGACGACTGATCTTTCCACATCTATAAGATATAAATCATAATCTCTCTACAATGCACAGATCATGATGCTGTCTTTACCACCGCTAGTTGACCCTGCGGACGGACTTACCGACGCATGGTCGAGAGGCCATCTGTTCTAACAAGTCTCATACACGCTGTACTCTATGATGCGACCCGCCCATCCGAACTAGTGACTGTCGAATCGGAGGATTCAGCCTAACGGGAGATCAATTGTAATTTTCCTGATCGCCGACTCCGGATCGTCAGGTCCCGCAATCAGGAGCATCACCGAGTGACTCATGACCGGGGTAGGGTATCTGCATCGTATGTGTAGAATGAAAGCTCG